TTTCACTTGGCAACAGAAGACTTCTACATCAACTTCAAATGACTTCTAGCGAGAAAAAAAATAGCGGTTGTTGTAAATCATTATATCAGTGATTTTTTTTTTAAATGAGCTTATCAAATCAAATCAAATTGTAGGAATTCTCATTACTGACTGATAATTATCAAACGAATCCCATGACAATATAATGCGCACTGCGTGTTTATGATTATTTCTTCGATTATATTTTATAACTTATTGCAATACCTTTCGTGGACCTTTCATAGCATCGTAATGTTTATTTACTTTGCACAATAGGTACACAGAAAAAAAAGTTGTTGAATATTACATCCAAACTGCTGCAACCAGGTCAATCCATCGGTTGTGTAATATAACGTTGTACGATGTATATCGATTTTGCGAACAAAATTACATCCATTGATGTAATATTGTATCTGCTTTTTGCTATTACATCATTATTTCATACATTAGCTTGAATTACATTGATCGATATTACATTTTTTTGCTGTGTAGTCGGTTTGACAGTTGACATACACAAACAAAGTGACAGACGACTAACTGGCGAAGAAATCAATTAAAATAATGTGGCTCGCTGTAATAGAATTTTCTTAGAAGCTTGTGCCATCATCTACCAGATGGGATAGTATTTTTGTTTTGGTTTTGCACAAAACTAATTTTGTGTACAATGATTCTTTGACAGTGTGCAAAGAGTGTATCATTTTGTATTTTTTTTTATGCATTTCAGTTTTGAGTAGAGTGAAAGAGATAGAACAAAAACATTCTAGTACATCTGGTGAAAATGCTAGTTCAATCCAGTAGTAGTGATGTTGCCATGTGGTACACTGAAAAATTGCAATAGCAGGTTAGTCACCAAAGTTTTCGAGCCGCTCCGTCTGTCACTTCGTTTGTGCTTATACATTCCATAAGACAAACCACATAGGTACTATTATAAGAATGCATAAGCGGTATGTGTGACCATTTATATGTTTTATTTGACACATGATCTTCATTAACTTTTTGCAAGGCGTCTGGTTATTAGCTGGGTACTGCGGACTCACTCAATGTGCTTGTCACTTGGGAGCCAGTCAGAACTGTCAAACGGGAGCCAAACATTCAGAAGCAACAAACTCAGTTACTATTCTTAGCTCTCGTCAAGCATTGCAATCTCGTAAAAATGATTCATACTTTTTCATAACACATTCTTAATTGTAAGCTTAAAGACTAAAACCAACAGACTCAATGATGAAAGTATAAAAACCAGCATAGTTTTTATGACTCAGCTGAGTTTTCAATTGCAGTAAAACATACTTTGGCGGTAAGCTCCAATCGGTATTATCCTCGGATTAAATACCGATCAAGTATGTCCGGCTGCTTTGATGTCGATAGAGTTATTCAACACAAATTCGTATCTTGGTTTACGAATCGAGTTTACAAATCGAGATGAATGTCTATGGGAACAATAAAAATATATTTGTGCTAAAAATCGAATCGGGATCCGTCTACGAAATCCCCATCAAGACCCGTATTCGGTTTCCCCATCGGGATCCGTATTCGGTTTCCCCATTGGGACCCGTATTCGGTTTCCCCATCGGGATCCGTCTATGAAATCCCCATCGGGATCCGTATTCGGTTTCCTCATTGGGACCCGTATTCGGTTTCCCCATTGGGCCCGTATTCGGTTTCCCCATCGGGATCCGTCAACCGAATCCTCATCGGGATCCGTCTACGGAATCCCCATCGGGGTCCATATTCGGTTTCCCCATTGGAACCCGTATTCGGTTTCCCCATCGGAATCCGTATTCGGTTTTCCCATCGGGATCTGTCTACGAAATCCCCATCAAGACCCGTATTCGGTTTCCCCATCGGGTTCCGTATTCGGTTTCTCCATCGGGATCCGTATTCGGTTTCCACATCGGGATCCATCTACGAAATCCCCATCGGGATCCGTATTCGGTTTCCCCATCGGGATCCGTCTACGGAATCCCCATCGGGATGCGTATTCGGTTACCCCATCGGGATCCGTATTCGGTTTCCCCATCGGAATCCGTATTCGGTTTCCCCATCGGGATTTGTATTCGGTTTCCCCATCGGGATCCGTCTACGGAATCTCCATCGGGATTTGTATTCGGTTTCCCCATTGGGACCCGTATTCGGTTTCCCCATCGGGATCCGTATTCGGTTTCCCCATCGGGATCCGTCTACGAAATCCCCATCGGGATCCGTCTACGGAATCCCCATCGGGATGCGTATTCGGTTTCCCCATTGGGACCCGTATTCGGTTTCCCCATCGGGATCCGTATTCGGTTTCCCCATCGGGATCCGTATTTGGTTTCCCCATTGGGACCCGTATTCGGTTTCCCCATCGAGATCCGTATTCGGTTTCCCCATCGGGATCCGTATTCGGTTTCTCCATCGGGATCCGTATTCGGTTTCCCCATCAGGATACGTATTCGGTTTCCACATCGGGATCCGTCTACGAAATCCCCATCGAGATCCGTATTCGGTTTCCCCATCGGGATCCGTATTCGGTTTCCCCATCGGGATCCGTATTCGATTTCCCCATCGGGATGCGTATTCGGTTTCCCCATCGGGATCCGTATTCGGTTTCCCCATCGGGATCCGTATTCGGTTTCCCCATTGGGCCCGTATTCGGTTTCCCCATCGAGATCCGTATTCGGTTTCCCCATCGGGATCCGTATTCGGTTTCCCCATCGGGATCCGTATTCGATTTCCCCATCGGGATGCGTATTCGGTTTCCCCATCGGGATCCGTATTCGGTTTCCCCATCGGGATCCGTATTCGGTTTCCCCATTGGGACCCGTATTCGGTTTCCCCATCGGGATCCGTATTCGGTTTCCCCATCGGGATCCGTATTCGGTTTCCCCATTGGGACCCGTATTCGGTTTCCCCATCGGGATCCGTATTCGGTTTCCCCATCGGGATCCGTATTCGGTTTCCCCATCGGGATCCGTATTTGGTTTCCCCATCGGGATCCGTCTACGGAATCCCCATTGGGATGCGTATTCGGTTTCCCCATCGGGATGCGTATTCGGTTTCCCCATCGGGATCTGTCTATGGAACTCGTCATCGGGATCCGTCTACGCAACCCGTCATCGGGATCCGCCTACGGAACCCGGCATCTTCCACTTTATTTTAGCTTTTAGTAGGGGTAAGAGGGGCATAGTGAGCATCCAGCTTGAACTTCCGGCTGTTCGGAAAAAAAAAATGGTTGGTGGTAGGATCAATATCATACTGATATACTACCAGTTGATTTGTTTCATGCAGCTGGAGATCCAAAGCCAAACTGCGGGATGCTCACTATGCCCCACCTCCCCCTATTTATTTATTTATTCGTCAATCAAATAAAAAATAAACAATAAACACATTCACTAACCTGCAAAGAGATCCGGTTTCAAATTCCCCGCCGGGATCCAGCTTCGGACTCCCTACCGGGATCCGGCTTCGGACTGGTGCGCTTTCCTAAAAAAAAACATAATTACAGTACATTAATTTACATTTACTTACCTGAAAAACAGCCTTCCTTTTCCAAGGGCGATCGCGGGACTCGCAATCTCCGAAACTGGCGAGAGACAGGAAAACCTGCTGATTTGCCGCAACGTCGGACACCGAATCGCCACCAAAACTCACGACGGACACATTTTCGGCACTTTCCCGGACTAATTCACCAAAAAATCGATCTTTTCGATCTTTTCACACCGCGAAAAAAACTGTACACGGCCAATGTGATCAACCCAAATTTGAATACAGTGTACTCAAAATCGCAAAAAGTGCAGGAACGCAGCGATGAGTAAATTTGCCTCGAGATTTGCCTCATGTTTTCCGGTGGAAAACTTCAAAAATCTTCCGGAAAATTAGGATTGACGAAAATCCACAGAATCCAATCTTTACTTTTCTTATATTCGGAAAAATTTTACTGGAAAAACCTGGAAAACCTGGAAAAACAGAGGAAAATTATCTCAAAACTGAGTTCCTGTACTTTTTGCGATTTATGAGTGAACTAAACTCAAATTTGGGTGTTCTCATTCGCCGTGTAGTGCTGACTCAGGACAAAACAAACTTTGCATGCGGCGAGGGACCGAAGGACAACAATTTACATCGTGATGAACTTTGATTCTAATGTAGCGTTAGGTTCTGTTGTAATTGGATGTATTCTGATGTTTTATGCGTGCAACAAATTACATCGTGATGAAGTTTGATTCTAATGTAACGTTAGGTTCTGTTGTCATTGGATGTATTCTGATGTCAAATTTAAATCGTCAAGACGTTTGATTCTGATGTAACGTTTGAGGCTAATGTATTTTTATGTACTTGGATGTCCCACTGAAGTCTGAATACATTAAGGGTACAGCAATACACATTAAAATTTAATGTATTGAAGATGTCTGCTGATGTTTCCTACATTACAATTTCTATTCGGGATGTATGTAAACAAACTTTGATAGAGTCATGGGGGCTCGAGTACTCCTGGCTCAGAGCTTTTGGCGGGAATCAACTGAGAAAGAACAAAAAAAATTTAAACTTGTTTATATTTTCAAGCAGTTTTCCATTGGCTTGCAAAATAAAATCGATTTACTCCGCAGTACTCAGGTTATTAGTTGACTTATACTTGTTATGAATAATCAGCAATAGAAATTTGCCAAAAGGTATAAGGGGATTCAATTTACGAGAAATCGGCGATAGACGTGTTTGTTTACAAAAGCAATTTCGCCCAAATCTCAAAGTTCTCCGGATAAAAAAGATTGCTTTCTTGAATTAGTTATTTCACCAATCAATTTTTTCAGCGCCACCCCGTGTTTTTCCCCTTGAAACGTTTTGTAACGGTATACTCTTCACAGCCACCAAACGCTGCTCACCTAACGGTTCACGAGCGAATGAATGAAAACAAACGGTAAAAGGTAAACATATAGTAAACAAAAACAGTTTTGACGTTTGCTACAACTTCATTCAAATTTAACGCGCATCGACTCGAAAACACGTGCGCGTGTATTTTTTTTCCGGTTCGTGTATCATTTTGCGACGTTCCGATAAAATTCCCCGGCAAACCCCCCGGAAATCATGGAGTCGGATCAGGAGGATGAGGTCCCCAACGTTAATTTTGTGCCCAGTTTGCTGTTCGTGAAGCGAGGCGTCGCCAAAGCAAATCCCGATAAGGTGAGTGATTCCTTTGCTGATTTGGCACTGACTGCGCTGGAATTATTGTTTTTGAATCGTGTTTATGGCCGATCTACTAGGTCACGCTGACTCCCGGGGAACTGGCTCGGATTATCAACGATACGCGGGACGGTTTGGAAGAGGATGGCGCCGAAAATATGGACACTTCTGACGATGAGGAAAATGAAGAAAGTACGGCCAGGTTGACTGGCCGCGCTGAGGAGGTCGCTGCTGGGTCGTCCGGAAGCGGTGCCCAACCGGCGGGTGATGAGTTCGGTTTCGAAGGGTACGAGCAGGAGTGTAAGTTGCATTGGTATTTTCGTGAGCCGCAAATGAGGAGGGTAAAACTGATGTTGGTTGTTTTGATTTTTCAGCTGGAGAACCCGTTGTACGATTGAGTTCGGTAGCGGTCGTAGATCCGGACGAGAATATCCAGGACGAGGATGATTCTGACGCGGAGGACGAAATCATCAAACCGACCGATAATCTGATTTTGGTTGGTCACGTTCAAAACGACAGTGCTTCGATGGAAGTTTACAGTGAGTTTGTTGATTTCAATTGATTTAAAATTTGTATTCTAATTGGTGTTCCTGAAAATTCTAGTTTATAACGAAGAAGAAGGCAGTATGTACGTGCATCACGACTTCCTGCTGCCCAGTCCTCCGCTGTGTATCGAATGGTTAAGTTTCGATCCGGGCAGCGATAAGCCGGGCAATCTGTGTGCGATCGGCTGCATGGATCCGGTCATTACGCTGTGGGATCTGGACATTCAAGACTCGCTGGAACCGGTCTGTAAGCTTGGGTCCAAGGGAAGTCGCAAAAAGAACAAACCCAAGGTCGGCCATTCCGATGCGGTGTTGGACCTTTCGTGGAATCGTAACTTGGAGTGAGTCTCTTGCCGTGATTGAAGCCCGATCATCGATTAACGTAACTTCAATCTTCCAGACACATCCTAGCCAGTGGCTCGGTGGATCAATCGGTCATTCTGTGGGACATGGAAGACGGCACACCGCACACCATCATCAAGGAGTTTGAGGAGAAAGTTCAAACGCTCGCATTCCATCCGACGAAGGCGGAAGCCCTGCTGGTGGGAAGCTGCGATGGCAAGGTAAAAGTCTTTGACTGCCGGTCCACGACCAATGATAGCAGCAGCTACAAGACGTGGAATCTGGGAGGCGAAGTGGAACGGGTCTGCTGGAGTCACCACAATGAGCACCACTTTGTGGCCAGCACCAACGAGGGACGGATTCACTACGTCGATGTGCGGACCGACCATCCCCTGTGGTCGAAGGAGGTGCACGAGAAGGAGATTACCGGACTGGTGCTGAGCTCGAAGGTCCCGGGAATGCTGGCGACGGCGTCGGCCGATGGAACACTTAAGGTGTGGGACTTTGACGATCAGGATGCACGGTTGACGTACAAGAAGAATCCCAAGATCGGTGTGATTCAGTGCTTGGATGAGTGCCCGGAGAGTCCATTTGTGATGGCGATGGGGGGCGACTTGAAGACGAAGAACTTTACCGTGGTCAATCTGCTGGATAATGATGTTGGTGAGTAGCAATTTAAAATGGGAAAATTCATCCTTTTGAGGTAAATTATCGATTTCAGTTACGAACGTATTCAAGTCCCGGTTCGATCCAAGCTATGTTCAACCGACGACGGTTGACACTTCTTCCGGAGCAACTGAAGATGCTAACATGAGTGACGACGATGAAGAAGAAGAAGATGAACTTTAGTCAGGGGTAAGATTAATAATACTTTTGTGGTATCGTATATGTTACCATTATTATGGAATACATTTTGAATGATTATGTTTAAAGTGAGAGTGGCTGAGAATTCCTTACTAGTGGTTATCACCTTCTTGACTGTTTCTTGTAATGCAGTCATTGCATATCAAATTTCAATCCCAATTGCGTTAGTCTCGAAAAATTCTAAAGTTGAGCAAAGGTAATGTCTGTGGACCATAAAGAATACTACAAAACCTTTATAAAGCTTGCAATGTTACATAATAATTAGTTGAAAGAATCGAGAAATTCAATTCAATTAAAAGCTTTTTTTTTTTTAACGGCGCCGTTGGTGTAGTGGTAAGCGTGATTACCTCTCACCCCAGCAGGCATGGGTTCAATCCCAGTCGGCGCTGCCGGGATGTTCTGAGGCATAACATCTCTGATCACGCCTTCCTTCGGATGGGAAGTAAAGCCGTTGGTCCCCGGTTCATGAGTTGATGGGTCGATAGGTAGGGTCCAGGTGTGGGAGCTGCCTTCCTGGCACGTCGGTAGCATTGGTGCTCAGCACGGAAAACAAGATCGACGGAAAAAACAAACCAAAAGGAAAAAAAAAAAAGCGCTTTTTATCGAGTTGCGTTTGCTATCAAGCCGAACAATGCATTAGTTAGGTCCCAAGTAAAATTGATCGATTCTCTTCATCGACCTTCTGTTTCGTTAATAGCTTGGGTACTGACCCGTTTCTTGTCGTGTTTGTCGTATAAAATGCTCGACAATAACTTGTTTCATCAATCTGTTTGCTGAAATTAGCTGGCAACGTCTTAACGTGGCCGTGAGGATGCAAAGAGAAATTCGACGAAAAGAATCTGTCATTGTTACTTGAACCTAATACATTGTTCAGTTTGATATGTTAAAGAAGATTATAATTCAAGCTGAACATTGTATTAGGTCCTAAGTAACATTGACAGATTCATTTAGTCGACTTTCTCTTTGTATCCCCACGGTCCTGTAAAGACATTCTTTTACAGCTTTCATCTACAGAATCTAATACGACAAACATAACAAGAAACGGTTATGTGCTCAAGTTATTAACGAAAGAGAAAGTCGACGAAGAGAATCGATCAATGTTACTTAGGATCGAATTCATTGTTCAGCTTGAATTGTGAAATGAATTCCAGGAGAACTATAAAATACTTCAATTTTTAGTTTTCGGGAAGCGCTGTTGGTCAAGATTAATCGGCCACATGGGTAGCACGCGAAAAAAAAACAAGTCGGATGGAAGAAGTCCTCACTCAGCGAACGCCACAGCTAGTACTCCGGAGCAGCTGTCGAAAAAACAACGGATCAGAGACGAAAAAGCCGTTTGGCTCCGTGAGCCATGGCAGTCAATGTGAGCGACACACATTCAATAATACGTTTGTTGTTCTGGATGATAGAAGAGCATACACACTAAGATTTTGTTTCCATGTTCGGTAAATTTTACCGAAATCAGAACAGCTGAACGTTCGGTTGAACTTTGACCTTTTGGCTATTGATTTTTAAAATAATATCAAAACATGTTCAACCTTGTTTCAATGATCTAATCTTGTCATTTTAGTGGAGATTTAGTTTCAAAGTAGCTGAAAAGCAATTGAATTGAATTGCATAAATTTTACCGAAAAGTTCAGCTGTTCAGATTTCGGTAAAAATTACCGAAGTCGACGATAATTTCTAAGTGTGTAGTAGCAATAGTGTAAAATAGGTAAGTGAAGCCATGGTCACCAAAAGAAGAAAATTGACTTTCACCCCTCTGATTTTCCAAAAATGTTAAATTTCTTTTCAGGGCAATCATAGTCTCATACTAAAGAGTATCAGCAGAGAGAACCCCGCTCAAATTCATATTCCTACACAAAACACAAGCTCCTGCTGCAGTTAACAAATAATGTTTGGAACGCGCAAAAAATGGTCAACTTCAAATTGGTGTATTTCTGTTGAAAATGCATAAAAACAACCTGAAATGCTGCATTTGGAAGTTGAGTGTATATACAATGATTGCTATGATGAGTTTTCATCGTTTGCTCTCCAGTTTTCAAAATGACGTCCAAGCAAGAGAAGCAGCGTGTCAAAATTTTGCAAGCGCTGCAAGAGAATCCGACGTTCTCACACGCCAAGTTGGCAAAATTGCTGGATGTGGCCAAATCGACCGTGACGTGTTCGGGGAGCGTCTGTCGACCGCCAAGAAGCCTGGAAGCGGTGGCAATCGTAATCCGGACGTGGCAACGACGACGAAGAAGGTGGCGGTGAAATATAAGCGGAATCCTAACCTCTCCATCCGGGACGTCGCTGGCAAGCTCAATGTCTCCCATACTACTGTGCAACGGGCCAAGAAACGAGCCTGGTTGTCGACGTTTAAGAAGGTGAAGGTGGCGAACCGAGATTACAGACAAAACACGTCGGCAAAGCAGCGGTTCCGAAAGCTGTATACGAATCTGCTCACAAAGTTCGACTGTGTCGTCATGGACGACGAAACTTATGTGAAGGCGGATTTCAAGCAGCTTCCGGGACAGGAGTTTTATCAACCGGTGAACACTCGTGTTTATTTCAGTTACCGTGTGGACGTAATTTGTGATGAACCCCGGTCCCTTTCAAATTGTATCATTATTTATGTACGGTTCATATATTTGAAATGACGTTTCACATTCATCTAGTGATGGCCGATTTTCATTAGAATTGTCGACTAATCGATTAACGAACCAAAAAGTAAAATATTTGCAATCGGTTATATCATGCCGATATAAGCATTAACTTCTCCAGAGGATCATCACCGATCGTTTCAAACATGTGCTGCACTCTCATTGGTGGAAAAATGGCAGCACAGCGAACAAAAAAAATCGATTAGTTGTTAATCGAGTAATTAAAAAATGGGACACCTCTGACTTTGGTGTGTTTGTTTTGATAAAAATGAGCGCAAAATTTCATCTCTACCGAGGGGGCAGCAAAACCACAAAATTACCTTGAATACGAGGGGTATTCAATGGATGAAAGGGACCGTGAAAGAGGACACTAAAATAGAAAGTTTTTCTTCCGACAGTTTCATCTTAGTATTCATCTTTGGTTTCATCTTAGTATTCATCTTTGGTTTTATACCGCATCAGGAAAAGGGAAGGTGGCTGAAATTTTCAAAACCATCAAACTATCGAAGTTCCCGAAAAAATATCTCGTCTGGCAGGCCATATGCACGTGTGGTCTAAAAAGCGGCATTTTCATTACTACGGGAACCATCAATCAAGAGATCTACGTTCAGGAGTGCCTGGAAAAGCGGCTGCTATCATTCGTAAAGCAACATAATAGACCTGTGCTGTTCTGGCCGGACTTGGCGAGCTACCACTATGGGAAAAAGGCAATCGAGTGGTACGATGTGAACAACGTGGTTGTGGTACCCAAAGACCCCAACCCTCCCAACATCCCAGAACTCCGCCATATCGAACGATATTGTGCCTTGGTCAAACAGAATCTAAAAAAAAACTAATAAATCCATGGAAAACGAGCAGCAGTTTAAATCTAACTGGCGTTCGGTGGCGAATAAGGTCGATGAGACCACTGTGCAAAATTTAATGGAAGAAGTTAAGCGGAAGGCACGGCAGTTCGGATTTGGCAGACCAAAAGAATAAAAGAACCTTTTTTTCCTTTAAATATATTAATTGAAAAAAAACCAGGAGTTTAATTTCTTAAATCCAGTGCCCACCTAGGGGAAGGACAGCTCCAAGTATCAGTATCAATACCGATGGTGGAAATATTAAATATTTTAATGTGTTTTTTTCTTTTTTTTTTTTAAAGGAATTTTAACTGCTTGTGCAGTCATTCATCCCTGTAAATGTATTTTAAGGAAAAAAAAAAAATAAATAAATAGTTATTACATAGTGTTCTAAGCCGATAGTTCAAGTTTTGCCTAACTTAGTAACTTTTAAATCTGGTTGATCAAATTTGTTTTCCGTAAGAATTTCATGAGTTTTGATTCTTCTATTCTGTCACACTATAATATTTCAGTAACATTGTCCTTTAGGTGACACTCTTGCCGTTGTTGATCATACTTCCTGCAATCAACCAGTGACGAACGTTTAATGGTTCACCGCATGTCTGGCACATGTTGCTTTCTTTGTTGAAGAGGTGCTGATGTGTTAAGCGTGTGTGACCGATTCTCAAACGAGTGAGAGCTCGCTGCTCCGTGGGGGAGGATCGATCAGTCCAGGCAAGTGTAGATAGTTTACAAATTCGAAGAAAATTACTGCTGTTATTCCATTGGACCTCCCATTGATGTCGAACTTGTTGTTTACATCGTCTTACCAACAATCAATACGAAACTAACGATTTTAAATTGGCTCACCACTTTAGTAGCCTATTGGCCCCAAGCAAACGATTAACGTACCCTATTCTAGTTGAAATTCTATTACTACACTATGTTTGTTTTGATTCGCTATGAAAGTTTGACAGATAACATCAGGGGTGTGTGGATTCATGCAGAACATGCAGGGGTGAGTGAAATAGCTTGGGACTGCTTGGGACCGTTGTTCTGGTACTGAGTGAGCCAAAAATAATAATGATTTTCTTCGGGACCTTCTAGTCTTAGAGTTACCTCTATGGTCTTACTACGTCTTCACCGGGAACTGCAATATTCAAAAGATCTCTACATCTTCCTTGTTTGGCTAAATCGTCTGCTTTGGTGTTTCCTAATATTCCAACGTGGCCCGGGATCCAACAGAAGTCGATGTTTTTGCTTTCTGCTTCGATTTCAATAGATTGGATCCACGGGTGACGTGATAGTCCTTTCTCTAATGCTTCCAGTACGCTGGCAGAATCTGTGTAGATTACGGTGGCTTCGTTTGTCTTGACAAAATTGGTTGTAGCGTAGAGGATGGTCATGGCTTCAACTGAAAAAATGGAGCATATCGCAGGTAGTTGGAAGTGAGCTTCTTGTGTTTCAGAGAATATCCCGAAACCAACCCTTCCGGAGTCCACAGAGCCATCCGTGAACAAACGTCTATGGAATAGATATTTA